AAATTGCTTGTCTCCCCGTTATAACTATTTTTTTTAAAAAAGAAGCTTCTAATTACAACTGATTTTGTGATTATAACACATTTTGCTCCTTAAGAAAATGACCAGTAAAACCTAGAACAGTGTAATAATCTATATTTAGAACTGACTAGAGGTGTAATTAAAAATAAACCACCCTACCTGAAATCATAACACAGATTTTTTTTTGTATTCTCAAGCTTCTTAAAATGCTAAAATTTTATCAGCTCAAAAAAATAAAAAATAAAAAATACACATATGTATATCACTTAATATTTCAAGCAGCAGTCTCTCCTCTCTCCACTTCAGCGTCTCACTCTCGAGAGAAATGAATACACTTTCAACTCTTGTGGCTCTTCTTGTGTTTATCTCCATTATTTCCCCCCCCCCGCCAATCACATGTGGTTTATACTATTTTCTGATTTGCAGACTTAGGTGTTATTTATGGACCGCTTATTATGGATGAAGACCTAGCCTTTTATACACCCTCATGGGTCCTCCTATAAAGGGAATATTTCCCTAGTCCCCCAGCTTTAGCGCCGGAATCCAGCCTCTCGGCGCAGTGACAGCTGAAGCCGCGGCCACACGTGACCAGATGCTAGGTCGGCTGCTCCAGAAGTACGTGTGCCCTGCAGCTGCATTCTCCAGTGATCCCATTAAAACGGCCCTTGTCTGGCTACAACGACATTAATACCATTTATTTATTTAAAATATATTTTTATTGATTTTTTACAGAGAGGAAAGGAGAGGGATAGAGAGTTAGAAACATCAACGAGAGAGAGTCATCGATCAGCTGCCTCTTGCACACCCCCTACTGGAGATGTGCCCACAACCAAGGTACATGCCCTTGACTGGAATCGAACCCGGGACCTTTCAGTCCGCAGACCAACGCTCTATCCACTGAGCCAAACCGGTTTCGGCGACATTGATACCATTTAAACATGACTTTAGAATTCTGCCACAGTCCATACATCACCCGGTCTGAATGGGCCAAGCCCTACACAACAGGAATTTGGGAAATGGTTCTCTGAGTGACCACAAAACCCAGAGAGAGCCTCTCTGGTTCTCGCCAGTTCACTGCCTCTCCTCGCTCTGCCCCGGAACCCCTTCCCTGCCGGTCCCAAACCCTCGCCTGGAGGGACCTGCGAGGAAGTCAGTTCTAAGTTGGGGAGAGCAGAGCAGTCCAGCTTATCTACAGAGCTGAACAGTCCCCCCGAGGCTCGCAGGGCCTCCTCCCCGGAGACACAAGCACCGCAGAGGGAACGGACCCGAGGGCCTTTCTCCGTCCCTCCCGTCCCCCCGGCTCGGGAGGGACAGAAGTGAGAGTGCGCGCTCGGCGGTTTACAGAATGCGAACCTTTGCTGCCGCTGTATGTGCTCTGCCTGACTCATCTTACGCATCACCGAAAGCTCGGGCACTGGAATTCCCGGTACCTCCACGTTCGATGCTGGGCACTCCCTTGCCATAAGGGTCAGCCGCTGTAACGGAGGTCTCCCTGGAGCGGAGGGGCCGGGAGAGGGCTGGGCCACAGGGGAGAAAGCTGGCGGGAGGGTGAGAAGCAGCGCGCAGAGCCGACAGCTTACAGGGGGCGACAGAGCCGGGCTCGGCTCCTCGCTGTGCACCGAGCACAAACGGGGGGAAACGCGGCACGCAGTCACCGAGCTTCCCTCAAAACCACCCCCTTTAAAGGACGATAAAGCAAAGGAGTAAAGTAAGAAAAAAAAACCCTATCATTTTACACACTATCCAGGAATCCTCACCCAGCGCCACCGATAGGGTCTATGACTTGAAGCAAAATGATGTATAACGAAGCTCATTTTACCACAGGCTAAACCAGTGGTTGGCAAACTGCAGCTCACGAGCCACATGCGGCTCTTTGGCCCCTTGAGTGTGGCTCTTCCACAAAATGATACCACGGTCTGGGCGAGTCTATTTTGAAGAAGTGGTGTTTTGAAGAAGTTTAAAAAATTTGGCTCTCAAAAGAAATTTAAAAAAAAGTTTTTTTCCCCAGTCGTTGTACTGTTGATATTTGGCTCTGTGGACTAATGAGTTTGCCGACCACTGTCCTAACCCCAAGCGATCCTCTGAACCAGGGATCCCCTGGCTCCGCCAGCAGAAACAAGAGGACACACGTGTGGTTCCTCCAGGGCCACCTCCACAGGTTTTCCTACACACGTGCTGTTCTCGCAGGAAACCCCTCACTCCATCCTTGGGGGTTAGTTACACTCTTTCATCGGTAAATGAGTTCTGCGTTATAACTGCTTGTCTTACCAATAAAAGGTGCTGTTTTTTTTTTGTTTTTTTTTTTTGTTTTGTTTTTTAAAGATTTTAAAACAGATTTTGAGCTGAAACCGGTTTGGCTCAGTGGATAGAGCGTCGGTCTGCGGACTGAAAGGTCCCAGGTTTGATTCCGGTCAAGGGCATGTATATTGGTTGCGGGCACATCTCCAGTAGGGGGTGTGCAGGAGGCAGCTGGTCAGTGTTTCTCTCTCATTGAAACCTAGCTCTCTACCCCTCTCTCTTCCTTTCTGTAAAAAATCAATTAAAAAAAATATTTTAAAAAAATTGATTTTTGAGAGAGAGCAGACAAACGGGAAACCTGGTGGTAAGCTTGATGACCCTCCCATCATCACACAGGACGTGTTTCTAATAGTCAGTGACCTAAAGGCTGGGGCTGTCTCGAGAAGGGAGGTACTACTGTTAACAGTCCCTTCTTTGTCAAATGATCTTTTATTGAAATATTTTCCTTTGTAGTTCTTTTTTTTTTTAAATATATTTTTATTGATTTTTTACATTGAGGAAGGGAGAGAGATAGAGAGCTAGAAATGTCAACGAGAGAGAAACATCGACCAGCTGCCTGTTGCACACCCCCTACCGGGGATGTGCCCGCAACCAAGGTACATGCCCTTGACTGGAATCGAACCTGGGACCTTTCAGTCCACAGAGTGACACTCTACCCACTGAGCCAAACCGGCTTTGGCCCTTCTTTGTAAACAGATGAAGGCCCCGGGTCCTACACAGCACGGCCCCACGGAATGCGAGTGAGTAGGGCTCCTTCTCCCGTGAGGTCCCAGTGTCTGGGAGCAGCAGGGCTGTGTGTACACTTCCTTCCAGGCCTCGGCGACACCCTGGAGCAGCACGCCGACACCCCGCGGACGAAAGGGCAAACCCGGGAGGATGCTGGCTCCCATCGCCCCGCTCCCCTGCCCTCTCCTGATTCTATAAATCATCCTGGCAGGTAGCTGGGAAGCAGCTGTGGGTGACAGCTCTGCTCTGGAGCACAGGAAGCCACCTTTTCACCCTCCTGCTGTTGTTTGTCTCTCCAAACGTGACAAAGGAACAGATGTAAGCAACGTGCCAACTGCTGAGGAGATCTGCCCGGAGAGCCAGAGGAAACCTGCTCGGAGCCACATCACACCGGCCGCCCGCCGCGGGGAAGGACAGCGGAGTTCACTTCCTGCCGCCCCCACGGACGCTCTGCTCGCGTCAGGCCGCCCCCCCTGCACATCCCGGCATCTGCCTTCGCCCCTGTGGTTCCCAGCCTCGAAGCCACTTCCCGAGCCCTGTTCAAAGGCCGGGCCTCCCATAGCGGCCTTCTCTGACCTCCCCTACCGTCAAGTCCCTGGTTCGGAGCGCTCTGCCGTCTGTGCCAGAACAGCCCAAGCCTTTCAAAGCCAAGCTCATCTCTGTTCAAACCTCCCCCTCTCCCTGAACCAGGGCTGCAGCACGCTTTACACACTCTGTATTCCCAAAGCAGTTTTTCCCCCAATTACTCGCTGCGAGGAGTCTGTTGGAAAGCACGTTTAAAGGGGTGCAACCAATATTTAAAAATACGAAATAAAAAGTGGCTTATAAAAGATATTCTTGGGGAACTATTATCTGACAGGAGACTCCTATGAATTTTCTTAGGTATAGAAATGGTGGTGTGCTTGTGTAGAATACCTTATTTTTAGGAGGTGGATGCTGAAGTAATTCCAGGTAACTATTTTTAACTGATCAGCGAAAATATACGTGTACGTGTACGTGTGTGTGTGTGTGTGTGTGTGTGTGTGTGTGTGTGGTGCACATCTCTAAATACACATACATGCACAGATACAGCAAATGGAGCAAAATGTCACAACTGCCAAATCCAGCTGTTGCGCATACAGTGCTCCCTGGATTATTCTGTACGTGTTCCTATGTGCTTGAAAAGTTTCATAATCAAAAGTAGAAGAAAACAAAACAGAAGAGAAAAAAACAAACAAACCATGAAGCACAGTCTGGTGTTAGGTGTCTCTGGATGTGTGTGCCCTAGGTTACAGCGTCAATGTGTTTCCTGCTGTACGTCAAGCCCACGAGTGTGAAAATGCTGCCCGAGAGCTTCTCCCTGGGCAAAGAACTATCTGTTATTTCCTTTTAGAAGCCCAGGACTTACATAAAGAAGCTGAGAAATCATTTCTTCTCCCATTCACTGAAGCAGTATCAAAACATCCAAGCCATTTCCTGCCTCCGCGCATTAGTTCCAACCTCAATGCAGCCTTCAGGCCTTTCTGGTCCGATGTTTAATTACTCATCAGCGAGGCCACTCCTGGCATTCCCGTCGGGGCCAGGGAATGTGTTCGACTCTGAGCAGGGTGGCCAGCTGTCCTGGTGTGCCTGGGATTAAGGCGTTTTGTAGGACCAGGGACTTTTGATGCTAAGACTAGGACCGTCCTGGGAAAACCAGACGGTTGTGCATCATAAATCTGAGGGAAGACTGTGCGAGAACCCGGGACAGGGCCGGGAGAGCTGACACTGTCAGGTCATGGTGTGATGTTACCACGGCACCGCGAATCACAAAGGCTAAACCCAGCCCAGGGAAAACGGTGACAAGCCAGAGATCCCCACGACGGCATCTCTCCTGACACAGCACGTGCCAGATTGCAAAGTGTCTCTCATGCCCTTGACCAGAACCTCTCCCGCGTCCTCACCACTAACCTGGAGAGCAAGGGACACGGAGAACTTACCGTAAAAACGTCGTCATCACCAAGCTCAGCTTCATTGTGGATTGTGGAGGAAGATGTGGTTGAGCCTAAGATGACAAAAAAAAATTGTAATAAAAAAAATGTTTTCAAGGAGGTTAAGTCTAGTCCAATCATTTAAAAGGTAGGTTTTAATAAAACCACATCTCGTTCCTTTCCTATGTAGCTCACTAGCAGAGGTTACCTGGGGATTAATGCTTTTAATTTATTCTTCAATTGACCCTTGCCAGGATGCCCCCTAAATGAACTTGGCTGACTGTTGTTCCCAATTAACCCCTTGAACTTCTGCACTGGCCACTGGAGAACAAGCACACAGAGAAGCTATAAGGAGGAGGGGTGGGGAGAGCCTGCCCACTACTCTGCAGTACAAGGTCAAGACCAGCCTCTGTCAGCGATAAGCTCCCCCTCCTCCCAGGTCCCAACAGGGTACAGCAGGAAAAGCACAGATGGAAAACTGCCAGGTTAGACCCATCTCCCTGTCAACTGGACTTAGCTTTCTGGTCTTTTCATCTACCAAAGAGGGGGCTTGACTCAACAGCTGAATTTCAGGGGTTCTGAAATTCAGGCAGTGTTCCCCAAAACCCAGACTGTGGGAGCCACCTTCTAAGCTGACACCAGGACAAGATTGTTCTCTCTTACAATACCAGGGCATTGGTGAGTTTTCTGTTTCTGCAGGCCAACATTTAGGCTCAGGTCAGAAAACCAGGTTTATTCCACCATGAAATGAGGGTTCTGTTTATTTCTCTTTTCATCTCTTCATTCTGGTATGCAAACCAGTAGGAATTCCCTTCTTTCCCCCATTAGTAGTACTCAGTAAATGTGTAAATCAACAAGTGACAGGTAATGGCCAAAAGGAAAAATATTTAAATTTGCATAAGTGATAGACCAAGAGCAATTTATTTTTGACCTTCTCCTTTTCTTGGTTAAATCTTTAAAAATATGCATTTAGCCGAGACCGGTTTGGCTCAATGGATAGAGCGTCGGCTTGGGGACTGAAAGGTCCAGGGTTCGATTCTGGTCAAGGGCATGTACCTTGGTTGCGGGCATATCCCCAGTAGGGGGTGTGCAAGAGGCAGCTGATCGATGTCTATCTCTCATCGATGTTTCTAACTCTCTATCTCTCTCCCTTCCTCTCTGTACAAAATCAATAAAATATATTTTAAAAAAATAAAATAAAAATATGCATTTAGAAAATATTTTGCTACTATTGATATATAAAACAGAAATGTAAAAGAATAGCTCAGAAAGGGAAGAGAGCCTGACTGGCGTGGCCCAGTGATTGTCAACCTATGAACCAGGAGGTCATGGTTCGATCTCCATTGTGGGGCATGCAGACGGCAGCCTATCAATGATCCTCTCTTATCATTGATGTTTCTAGCTCTCTTCCCTCTCCCTTCCTCTCTGAAACCAAAAAAAATATATTAAAAAGAAAGGGAAGAGAAATATTTAAATCTTCAACAAGGAATCCCTGGAGGAAAAATAAGTCCCATAATAGCCTCTGCACAATTCCTATTGATCTTTCAGGGTTTTTCCTCTACTAAATTATACTAATCAATATTTAAGGCAAGTTTGATAGCAAACAGCTGGGTAGAGAAGACATAGAAAAAAAATGACACGTGCTCAATTTTGTTTATAAATTCAATAATTAAGTATAGGGGCATACTGAAAACTGCTATCAGTAATACAGGTGCTATTTTCTCTCTATACACTTAAAAAGATATTTTTGACAACATTTAATATTTGTTACTTGGGTAAGACCTATGATGTAAATCCCAGTTTTCATTGGCTATCACATGGTTGTAGTGAACAGATTCATGTTCCAGCTATAATTATCTTACTATTGATGTTAAGCAGTTTTCCACTGAAGATTTGCTTTTCTCTTCCCACAAATCCATAATGAAGAAAAGGACTTCTGAACACTTTTATTTCTTAAACAGATGAAACACATTTTCTTTTATGATTTATTTTTATTTAGTTTTTATAATTAATTCTGAGGTTGGCCTTTGCTTGATATTTCTTTATTCTTGGTTTTTGGCATCACTGACCCTCTCCTTTGAGAATGGAATGGGTTAAAGTGGAGAATTCATGTGTTGGCATCTGCAGACTCTAGAAAAGCCCAGGAGAACGGATGGCCTAAGTGCCTTCCAGGCCAGGATCAAATGTAACACAATGTCTACTAATCACTCACCACAGAGTAAGGCCTAAGCCAATCCAGGGCTTCGGGAGTCACAGATCCCTTTCCTGTTCGGTGGCAGCTGCACACCTGGGCTCTGATTGCAAGAGGGCAGGGGGTGGGCCTGGAGCTTTGGGCTCATTTGAATCTATTCCCCATTTCTGAGCCGTGACCAATAGACCAAAGCCATTTCAATTGCCAGGGAGAGTTGCACTCCATCAAAAATTCCTTCACATGGGAGTCTAGAACTTGTCTTTTCAGAGCAAAATCTAAAATCTAAAACCCAATTGGAACCACTTCTTACCCATCCCCCCCCCCCCCCCCACACCCCTCTGATCTCTCCCTTCGTAATTGTTTTCCTTGGATGTTCCTAAAGTTTCGGCTCCTACTGACTGACCTGGCCACCAACCCTCCTTCTAATAAGCCACAGATATATGATGGTGGATAACAGGCATGGAAAATAACTCAGAACATTAACACAGTCCCACTAAGAACGCAGTGACAAAACTCAATACCTTCTATAAGGTCTTCAATTGCTTTCCTCACTCCCCTGTCAAAGGCTCGCGCATCGGCAGGACTTTGGAAAGTAAGTCCAAACTTCCTATTGTCGACCTTCCAGTGATGAAAGGTGGGGTTGGCTTTGGTGTAGACCAAGTCCTTCCTGACATAGCATTCCAACACCACCTGAAGGATTGAAACACACAAGCTGGTTAGTGTGTGAAACAGGCATGCTGGTGTTCGGTTACGAAACTCTAAGTGGGAACTGTCAGTCTTTGGTGGCAACCAATGAGAACCCTCCTCTCCTGCCCTCAGGTATCTGTGAGTCTCTCCACTGGAAAGGCCTTTGCTTGCCTCTGTGGACCATCCATCCACTCTTTGCTGACCTGTCATCCTATCCCACAGCCCCCTTGCATTGGGTGATCCCACTGTACTGTGGTACTCCTTAACCACTCTTCATCTCATTCCTCTTCCTCACTCCCCGATTGGGGGGTGGGGCACTAGGCTGAGGTCCAGGTCTTGGGGCTTTGCTGTGCTCCAGGTGGCTGATTCTATGTATTAGTGGCTCTCAACTTTCCCTCCTCTATCCTAGTGAGTGCTTCCCAGGGACTTCAAATCCAACATGTCGAAAACTAACAATCTGCTCTGGAATTTCTGCCACTGGTTTCCCCTTCCGACTCCCCCACATTTAGCAATGCCAATCCCTCCTTGTTCACTCTCTTTGGTTTAAAATCTCCAGGGTTATCTTTGCCTCTTCTACTTCCCCTACCCCCTGTATTATTAATCACCAAGTGCGTTTCATTTTTCCTTTAATATCTTTCATATAAATTGATTTAAGTTGCTGCTACCCTGATCTGGGTCTCCATGAACCTTTTATCTGCATTATTAGAACAACCTCCAGGTTCCTAGCCATTTAACTTCAGAACTGCCTTTAACTAAGCTATAACTTTGCATAGAGTGTCTCAGACCCTTGGTCTTTTTCTCTCTAAAATGGAAATAACACTAATATTATCAGCGTGAACATATATAGCATAAAAGCATCATTGCAATCAAGTGAATGGAAATTCCCTTCTTTTTTCACACAAAAATTTTTTTTTCTAAAAATCAACAATATTTATTCCTATGTACACCAAAATAATTTTGCCAAGTGTTATTAACAGCTTTGATTTTGTTCTGGGGAAGCTCTTCATTTAACCAAATGAAATCCTATTAAGAGAAGGGAAAGAGTAAAGGCCTGCCTAAATAAGTATAAATTCAAATTAGAGAATATTCTTAAATGAGTGTAGGTTTCAAGGCTACATCTAAGCAGACTAAGACATTAAGTGCTGCCTACTACATGTTCCTAAACTTATAAACAGATGAGAACAGTCAAATCGGTATATCCAGTAGCAGTCCCAAGCAGTTAACTACTTTATTACATTGTATTAAAAGAAGACAACAGTCCTTTCACACAGTTCTATTTATGATTAAGATGCTTATTATGGCCATTTCCCCCTAAGAATAGTGTGATGGTTAAATGTCAGCCCAGCCCCATTCCTAATTGGGGAAATCCAAATAACCAAAGCTTTAACTAACAAATGTTATCTATTTTAGAATTTAATAGTCTCAATTCAAAGTCTCAAAATAAATGTTTTGTAAAAACAAAGACTTCCAGTTTCTCCATATTTTTAGGGTGAAAAAATTAAGTCTTTGGTTGACATTTTTCCAAGTTTAAGATTATTACAACAGTACATTTACTTACAGAAGTTAAAAAAAAAAAAGACATCATTACATATCTAAGTTTAATGACAAAAATGAAAAAGTTCAGATGCTTTCGTCTTACCAACAGGTATAATTCCTCTAATGAAATCTAGGCATTAACTTAAAACTTAAACTGGCCAGCGTGGCTCAGCGAGCGCTGATCTATGAACCAGGAAGTCATGGCTCGATTCCTGGTTAGGGCACATGCCTGGGCTGCAGGCTGGATCCCACTGAAGGACGTGCAGGAGGGCAGCTGATTCATGATTCTCTCATTGATGCTTCTACCTCTCTCTCCCTCTCCTTTCCTCTCTGAAATCAATAAAACTATCTAGAAAGAAAAATATTAAAAATTATTAAATGCCACTGGGGCTGCAGGAGATGAAGAAAGCCTGGCTCTGCACAAATGCACTTGGGGAAGGAGAGAGGATGTGTAACAGCCTTTTCTCTTCTGCTGCACAGGGAAGAAGGACAGCTGTCTCAAGTGCAATTAACTGCTTCAGTTGTGAGTTGAACCGCCTGCTTTTTTCATGGATTTCCTTGAAAGAACCACTGACAGACAAGCTACGGTTACTCAAACGTGTGTCTTTGGCAGATCTTTTCTTAACTATGAACGCCTGTCACTTCCAGGAAAACAAGTGGAGTTATTTGTTGCCGCTAATAAAATTTGAACTTTCAAGCGAAAGCATTGTGGACAGCTCCCCAACACTTCAAGGCTTTCCAAATGAGATGAGTGGTGACACTGTGATTTTTGGATACTGTTGGGTTAAATGTAGCAACATTGGGAAGATCTGCTTAAATCATTCTTTTCCAAATGCCCAAGGCATGGTGTTACAAAACCAAGAGGGAGTAAAAGATGTCATCAATGTGAAAGATAAACCCAGTGAATTTTAATGTAAGAGTGTGAAAAATTCATTGATATGGCCTCAGAGTCCACATTCATAAAACTCTGCAAGCCACGTTTTGGTGTGGTATCAAAAAAGTGTATTTATAATAATCTGAAAAGGTTATTAAAGTACTCCCTTTTTCCAACTTCTAACCTGTGTGTGGCTAAATTTTCTTCAAAACAACGTATTGCAAGAGACTGAGAAAGCAGGAGTAGACACCAGAATCCCGCTAGTTCCCATGAAGCCTGATAGTAAAGAGATCTATCATCTATCTGCAAGAACAAAACACTACCCTTCTCCTAGTTTTTATTCTGGAAAACAGTTATACAGTTAGTTCTCTTAAAGAATGCCACCCAGGCTAAAAACCTATTACTTAAGATGAAAAATTTTTCAGTTTGAATTTCTAAAATGGTTAAGTATCAGTAGCTCTACCTCACAGCGACAAAAGCTTTTCGGGGTCAGCGCCAAGGGAGCCTGAGACCAAAAATGCTCGAGGACTGTGGTTGTCCGCAAAGCTTTGCAGGCGAGCCTATTTTACAGGACAGGGCTCCGGTGTACAGCGGCCGGGCACAAAGGTGTGTACGTTTAAAACCGATCGGTATCCTGCCACGCTGCCTTCCAGAGCTCTGCCAGCCGCACTCCCACCAGACGGGAGCGCTCTGGGCCTGCCCGGGCAGCGGGTGGAATGGCCGTCCTTTGAGGTCTCGGGGTTCCTTTTCGTACGGTGGTTCTCCCAGGATCCGTTTCAGGAGGAAACGCCTCTAATCCATCTCAAATAGGACTGAACTCGGACATGTTACACGTAACATATCATTGCTCAGGAAAACTTGATGGTCTCCAACTTACAAACAAATGGTCCCAGGAACACCTTGTGAACGGACGTCTGGAGCCCAGACATTCCTCAGGAACGGCGGCAGCTGAGCTCACAGGCCTCCGCATGCAATTCAGCAACAACGAAAACCAGGGTTTTCAATGTTAGAACTGCACTGTGCAACTGACAACATGGCTTCTGTCAGAAAAAGCACTTCCTGTCCTAGCTGGACTACTGGGGACTCTGATACATCATCCACTCTATTCCAAAAAACTATCTCCACTCTTTCCTCGAAATCCCACCATTTAGGAGTGGGAGGGCGGGATAGGGGGAGAGCGGTTCTTCAGCAGCCCACCCTCTGCAGGGTTTCCCCAGGGACTCAGACTCTCCAGTGGGTGGGAGTGCTGCGTATGGAAGCCAAAAGAAGAGTCACCATGTCTCTGAGGGAGGAGGGTGGTGGTGGTGGTGGTGGTGGTGGTGGCGGTGGTAGTGTGTGTGTGTGTGTGTGTGTGTGTGTGTGTGTGTGGCGGTGGTTGTGTGTGTGTGTGTGTGTGTGTGTGTGTGTGTGTGTGTGTGTTGTGGGACAGGGCAGAGGGCGGGAGTCAAGTACCACCGAGTATAGAAGTCCAGAATCTCCTGGAGTGTGACACAGGTAAGATGAGGGATGCAAAGATGGAGCAGCATAATTGGGTGTGTGATTTAAACACCAGTGGATATAAAAGTCCGGAAGAGTGGAGTCAGGAAGGGGACGGAGGGACGGAGGAACATGACTGGGGAGAGGGTGAGGCACACCATCCTTCCACAACGGAAGCTGGCCCGCCGGCAGGACTGCCCTGTTGCTGGGCGAAGTCAGTAAGGAGGGACCAGGTTCCCAGCGCCGTCTCTGCTAGGGCTGTGTGCCCGGACAGAGGAAACGGGTCACTTCTTAGAGCATCGCATTCCCTCACTACCACGTGGACATAACAGTACCGGCCCCTCCAGCACGCTGCAGGGACTTAACTGAGGTTCTTTACGTAAGGGCCCTGAACAAAACCGCACAGGTTTATCATGTATGTCAGGGGTAAGATACAAGTTCATACATGTATGTTTAAAATGAAGTCGTTGGATGAGACCAGCTAAAGGCCATTTTAGGTTGACATATTCTATGACAAACTACAGAAATACCAGGAAAAAAAAACACATCTAAAATAATAACCATTCGGGTAAGATAATCTGTTAACACAAAGGTAGCAACAATAAAGGGTAAAAGGGGGGAAAACTTTTCTTTCAAAAATTTTGTAGAAAAAGAACACCAACTAAAACAAAAAGGCAACAATGTGGTGGATGAAGATTAATATCCTTATTATAAAGAGGGCATATATATATATATATATATATATATATATATATATATACACACACACACACACATATATATACACGAAGGAGAAAAGGTCCCAATAAATCAAATATCATTAACACATAACTTAACTGCCCCTGTTTAACAAACAGAAAAAGATCTGATCTCATCAGATACCAGTGGTGATCTGTCAAACTGGCGAAGATGGGAAGTATCTGATCCTTGTTGTGTTAAAGGATATTCTCATAATGGCCGAGGATCTTCGCACAATAATCAAAAGTCATAAAAATGTGACCCTTAAATTATTCCAAGAAAGTAAAAAAAATTGTGGAAAATGCAGGTAGGTGTCTACAAATGCAGATAGATAATACTCGGGGAGGGAGCAAAGGGGAAAAACCTTAATATTTGCCACTAAGGAGAATTGTCAAATAAACAAAAAGAATCAGCCTGATAACAGCAACCCGGAGAGTTCTTACAATGTTAGGGCAAAACCAGTGGCATACAAAGCTGTTGCTGAGTCCGGGTTCTGGCTATGTAAAAGTAAAAATATGTGTGAGGAGAAAAAAAAACGACATCGGAGCTAAATAAAGGTGGTTGTGCTCATGTGACTTTGGCTCAGCTCTGAGGTCAGAGTGACAGACGAGCAAATGCTGGCTCCAGACTCCGAGATGAGTCACCAAGAACAAGGAGTCTCTCTGAATCTTAATTTCCTCAGGTTTGATGCTCAGGCTGCTCCAAGGACACGATGATACCACCTCCCTGAAGGGCGAGCACAGGCCCGACGCTGCGGAAAGGGCAGTTATTTTATATTCACAGTGTGGTTATACGGCCTTTATTGTGAATATCTCACAAATAAGACTGTTTCATTATTTGACGATCATGTAGGGAGTTGCTTAAAAAGACACAATTTCCATTCATTTCATTTTTAGAGATGAATCAAGTGTGAAAACAGCATTTCTGTTAATCCATATGTAATATTTACAGATTGTTCTGTCTTATCTATTTCATAACTTTTAAAAACAGTAAGTGTTCGCAAAATATTGTATTTGTACACTTAGCACCTTGTCAACTCCACAGACACCACATGTCAGGGGTAATACTGACATGTCCTGCAGTGTCCCTGTGTTCTCTCTGTGGAGATCCTGTACCATCCATCTGGCACTTTCTGAATCATCTGATGGCTTTGGAGCATATACTCCATGATTAAGTACAGACAGGAGCAGTATTCTTCCAGGTTCACACCACCAATTACAAATAGCTTTAGCCTGGCTGGTGTGGCTCAGTGGTTGCACGTCGACCTATGAACCAGGAGGTCACAGTTTGATTCCCGGTCAGGGTGCATGTCCATGTTGTGGGGTTGATCCCCAGTGTGGTGCTTGCAGGAGGCAGCCAATCAATGATTCTCTCTCATCCTTGATGTTTCTATCTTTTTCTCCCCCTCACTTCCTCTTTGAAATCAATAAAAAATTTTTTTAATAGCTTTAGACATTCTATTTCCCTTCATATCATAGATTCCTTCATAATATAGAATTGGGCATCCACGTTCCTGCATCCAACTGAATGGATGAGTCATGCGCCCGCCCCTGTGAGGTCATGGTTACGCTCCAAAGGTGTCTATTTTTAAGCATGTAGAATTATTATGGAAGTGTGATACCCCTTTTTGTTCCTTTCTTTCTCCAAATGTGTTTTATTCCTTACCTTTATGGACTTAAAGCTACAGTATCTTTTAGCACAACATTTATTTAGAAGTAACCAACTATCAGGTGGCACCTTTTCTTTCCACCTTTTCACCAACCAACCAAACCTTGATGGCACGCTCCGTTAAAAAAAAAACAACAAAAAAAAACCCTACACTTTAAGAAAGTCTGACTTCACAGCTCACTACAACCCGATTCATAATAAAGAACCCCCTTCTGTGTTGAGTATCGTGTCACGGTGACAGAAAGACAGCCTCGTTAATCAAAGATGCCAACAAGACGGCCGGCCATACGGCCTCTGAGCATCCGAGGTACACGGGGCGTTTCAAAAGGGACTTGGCTGGAAAGCCAGGGCTACGTGTTGTTTGTTTTTTTTTTTGCAACGTGGCACCAGCTCCGGATTTATAACTCTGGAAGCTTTCCTAAGAGGCCGAAGTCAGAGGAAGAAGGGAAGCACTATCCTGGGGGAAGAGGGCTGCGAGTTAAGGTCAAGACGTCAGCCGCGGCCGGTGTCACCCCCGCGCCCCCCGTCTGCCATTACCAGTTTGTCTTTCTGCCGTTCACCATGGATGAGAAAGCCGCTTCGTCCATTGCCTTCGGGGTGCATGACCTTACAGACCCCCACGCGACTGATCCCGCCTCCTTCCTGTGGGAACCATCCCCCGCTGGAGTCATCTCTGGTCATAACCACAGCCTTGACGCGCACAATATAGCTGTCACTAAAACGACAACAAGAAGAACGGGGCATGACAGTGGTCTGGCAGTTGCAGGACACGTTTCACAAACCAAGACGCCAGCGTGTGCTGGGCTCCTCGACGGGAAACCTGGGCCTGGCAGCAACCTGCAAAGGCGGCCCATCTCAACTTTTAGAGAAAAACCAAGACTTGAATTAAACTCAATATAAAGGCACATTAAAAGAAAACAAAAACAAAAAAAGATACCCAGAAACTAAAAATTATTTGTGAGTTTTTCAAGAGGTCTGTCCAATTTCTGCGTGGTAAAAATAATTAATAATAATAAAACAAATGAACTGGCCCGGCTGGTGTGGCTCAGTGGCTGAGTGTCCACCAAGGAACCAAGAGACTGGGGTTCAATTCCAGGTCAGGGCACACCTCTAGGTTTCAGGCTCGATCCCAAGAAGGAGGCAGCCAGTCGATGATTCTCATCATGGATGTTTCTGTCTCTCTCTCTCCCTCGACCTTCTTCTCGCTCTTAAAAAGAAAAAAGAAAAATCAATAAAAACATTAAAAGATAAAACCCCACACAAATGAGGTGATCTCTATATAGTTTGGTATCATATATTAGGAAAGACAAATCTATTAACTTAAAAGGATATTATGGTTTCAACCATTAAAACGTAAGTTTATAATGCCAAGGTTTAACGTTTTATAAAACCAGTAATCCTCTGATTTAGCGTAACACCAGAAGAACCCATTTCCAAATCGCAAATTCACTCTACAAGCACAGGTAGACAGGAAATATTTCAACGTAAGTGCCCTTTACACGTGTGAGACCTCTTGATTCTGTTTCTCCGGCCTAACCTTCAGTTCCACGTTAAGTCCTTTTGCGCGGCTGCCAAACATTCTCTTTCTTCTCCAGAGCCCAACTCTAGCTTCTTTTCATCCTTCCGTCACTTTGTGGGCAAATTTATTTGCATTTTCAGCGAGGCCATTAAGTCTCACTTGCTGCTTTCTTTCTTTGGAAAAAACTCATTTTTTTTTTACTCATTCAAACCTATATTCCCATCTTCTGTATGCCAGGGGCCGTGCCAGATTCCAGGGACACAGAGATGTGGAGTAACATGGAACCCCTAGGCCGGCGCTGAGCCTGGCCACGCAGTCTGCGAGCCGCTGGAGGACCATGTGGACAGCCCCCCTGCCCCACGTCCCCGATCACTTACTCACCCCCAAAGACAGAACCACCTACACTCCCTGGTTCCCTAGAACCCTGACCATCTGCTGCCACCCAGCTCCCTTCCCACGGTGCCCATCAGACTCAGGGTCTGACGCCCCACCCCTTACCTTCCAATCCCTTCCTCGGGCCTTTTATTTTATCTTTTAAAATATATTTTATTGATTTTTTACAGAGAGGAAGGGAGAGAGATAGAGAGCTAGAAACGTCGATGAGAGAGAAGCATCGACCAGCTGCCTCTTGCACACCCCCCACTGGGGATGTGCCCGCAACCAATGTACATGCCCTTGACCGGAATCGAACCTGGGACCTTTCAGTCCGCAGACCGACGCTCTATCAGTGAGCCAAACCGGCTTCGGTCCTTCCTCGGGCCTTGTATTGGTGGTAAAACATAAAGTAAAATTTTCCCATGGCATTAAATTAAGCACATTCACACTGTTCTGCAACCACCCCCATCACCCACCTCCAGAACTTCCTTCATCTCCCCAGACTAAAAATCCAATCTCACGGAGCACGAGCTCCCCGTCCTCCCTCCTCCCCAGCCCCTGGCGACCACCGCTCTGCCTCTGCCTCGGTGCCTCTGTAAGACCCTTCCACTGTCTGAACCCAAATGCCCAGTGCTCGGGGCGGAGCCTCTGGGGCACACCCACCCCGGGCTGCTTCCTCACCGCTGGTGCAGGCCCTCTCCCGGCTCCTCTGACGCTCCCGAGTCTGACCATGCCCCCCGCTGCCCCTCTTCAACCTTCCATAGGCCTCAGGGCACCTCCCGGCATTCCCTGAAGACACGCACTGCCCCTCCATCCTCCCGCCATGATCCCTGTCTTGATTCTAATTTCATTCCTCACCCCAAGGATCCCACCAATTTCTGGGCCTCTCGGTTTCTGGAACTCTTCCTGCTCCTGTGACCTGGTCTTCCTCCCACCCATGCCCAGTCACAGCCTTAACCTTAAGCAATAGCTGTTCAACGTGAATGACCTCGATCTAACCATCCTGCTCTCCAGCCACCACCTCCCAAATTTGCAAGCTCACTCCCTCAACTTCATAACTGCCCCCACTGGGGCCACAATCTAGTGTTATGACCATGGATCTCGATTCCAATAATCTCAGGCTGTTGTTGTGCCTTGTGATTAAGCCCCTATCCCAGTGGTCGGCAAACTCATTAGTCAACAGAGCGGCAAACTGTTGCCCGAGAGCTGCAGTTTGCAGACCACTGGTCTATCATGACAGTCTTTTGCACAAAACCTTAACACATTTGTTCTCTCCTCATTGTAACTGCCTGGTGAAACCCTCCCCCACCCCTCAGGGGAAATGACACCATCTACTCTCGCCTGCTCCCACCCAGGCTGCTGACTATGGTTAGAGGGAAGCCCCCTCTCTGTTTAACGTACAGGTCTAATGTGAAAGTCATACCACTAACCTCCATGGGTCCTGAGGTGCCACCCGGCAATCCTGCTACACCCCCCAAGTCCGTCCCCCAAAGTCACTCCATCATCTTCCTGTCGGATGATGGATGAGCTTGCTTTAATTTCATTGAGAAAATAGACACGATCGGGAAAGACCCTGCACCTGTGCCCACCAGCACGGCTACGACTCTGGACCAGTCCTCTCTGCCTCTCCTTTGATAACTGGCTAAACCGTCCAGGGTCCAAGCCAGGTCAACAGCTGCAGCATCAGTACCGTCTATGTGCCAACAGCGGCCAAACTCATGTTTCTATTCAGACCTCATCTCTGAGCGTCAGAACAGTAACACCAACTGCCCGTGATTTCTCTCGTCAACAGCTTGAACACGCGATTCCCAACACCCTCCTATCCAGGAGGGTCTCCCTGGACACGTATCCAGAACCCACATGTGACCACCTCCCTCAACTCCGCCCGGATCCCAGCTGTCCCCACCTCTCCGACGACTGCAGGAGCCCCCTCACTGGCCTCCTTTCTTCCACAAACGCCCAACTTTCTAAGAAAATAGACAGGTGATTCAGAGCGACTCAGACCAACCCTCCAATATTTCTTTATATTACTTGAAGTAAACAGAAAAAAAATCTAGCCCGCATCTTACTACGCTCCTCCTTGCTCATTCCGCATTAGCCCCACTGTCCTCCCCATGAAGCACATTCCTACCTCAGGGCCTTTGCACATGCTTGTAACCCCATTTCACTCCCCCCACACACACACACATAAATGAGGCTCATTCCCAAGGCTAATTGCATCACTGAAGACGTCTCTGTCCGCTTTATGTACAGCACCGTGCACTCCTCTTAAATCTTCTCACCCTGCTTTGTCTTCCTCGTGGCTGCTAAGTGGACCCCTGCCCCTTTTGTTCATTGCTACATCCCCAGAGCCTAGAATGGTGTCTCACATGTAGTAGGTGGTACAGTGACTGGGTTAAATATACAATATTTATCAACTTATTTAAAAAAAAAAAAAAGTTGTAGCTAACAGAATCCCTGAGAAAACATCAAGTGTTCAGTACCCTTTTGCTTATGAGTCATAATAAGTTAATTAGCATCGGGTAAAAAAATTCCTTTTCAGTACACAGGAAAACTGGCCCCGACTGGTTTGGCTCAGTGGAATGGAGCATCGGCCTGCCGCCTGAAGAGTCCTGGGTTAGATTCCGGTCAAGCTCACCTGGCTGGGTTGTGGGCTCCGTCCCCAGTGTGGGGCGTGCAGGAGGCAGCTGATCAATGATTCTCACCCATCATAGGTGTTTCTATCTCTCTTTCCTCCCTTCCTCTCTGAAATCGATAAAAATGTATTTAAAAATAAACAAATAGGAAAACTGAATTTTAAAAAGATCACATGGTTTCCATCATTAATCTATTTTAGGATCCAAGATGCATATTCCTTTAGATCATAGAGATTGGAACATTTTATAACATTTGTTTGGACTAGTTGCATACAAACATCTTGAGAATATCTTCTTTTTCCTCCAACACCCCATCTTTTCTAGAAAGAGGCAGGGGTCCCTGGCTGTGTGAAAGCTGTGGTATGTATGAAACCCAGCTTTTCAGATCTCCAGTGCGTGCACGGTGGGTTCATCAGGAAAGGCCAAGGCGAGTAACTGGAACTCCACACACCTCTTACCGAGACACGCTTTTGCTGCTTCGTTCAGTGTTGCAGCAGTGTGTCCCAGTCTCCTTTTGAGTGAATTAAGTATGAAAGAGGAAGTCTGTATTCCTTACGCTAGTGTCACAGACTCATTTCCAAAGAGTATTCATTTATGAGAGATTTTAAAAAATGCCCCAGCCAAAGCCGGTTTGGCTCAGTGGATAGAGCGTCGGCCTGCGGACTGAGGGGTCCCGGGTTCGATTCCGGTCAAGGGCATGTACCTTGGTTGCGGGCACATCCTCAGTGGGGGGCGTGCAGGAGGCAGCTGATCGATGTTTCTCTCTCATCGATGTTTCTAGCTCTCTCTCTCTCTCTCTCCCTTCCTCTCTGTAAAAAAAATCAATAAAACATATTGAAGAAAAAAAAAATGCCCCAACCCTTGGCATCCAGACCACAGGGGCTCATGTTGGCCTTTGCTTTTGGATCTGCATCCTCCTCCTTCCTGCCTTGATTCATCTCACGCCCTTTCCTGAGGGCAGGCGTCTTCTCTGTGAGGGGCTGCGTGTGATGGGGCCTGGGGGACAGGAGGCCACCCCTCCCCCCACTCCAGTCTTCTCTGGTAACGTCTCCCACAGCCAGCACTAACCGAGGCATCTGGCTGTTGGAAACGAGGCGGGGGATAAAGGGTTGCACCGAAAGCTGCGAAGGCCGTCTGGGTAATCCAGCTGCATGGCTGCGCGCCAGCTGCTTCCTGGCTGCGGGG